AAGCAATGGGGCGCGAGTCTCCATTTGGGTAGGTATGAGAAATAACACCTCCCACAGCAAAAGAACTCGCATCCGCAGCTAACGTTATCGGTAAATTGGGGTCATAATGTGCCAGTATTTTTGGTGACGCTAATTCATTTTTTATAGCCTCAAAGCACGCGGTTTGTTGCTTACCCCATTGCCACTTCCTATTTTTTTTTAGAAGCAAATGAAGTGGGTATAACTTATCACTAAGATTTTTTATGAATTTACCATAAAAATTTATAAGTCCTAAAAAAGACTTTAAACTAGTTATATCGGTGGGCTGTGGAGCTTTAATTATAGCTTCGACTTTATCATCCGAAGTAGATAGACCCTCTCTATTTATTGTATAACCCAAAAATTTTATTTCTTTTTTAAAGAAACTACATTTATTTATTTTTACTCTCAACCCACATTCTTTAAGAATGTTAAATACGTTAAATATATTTTCTAGATGTTGTTCGGAATTTTTGCCAGTAATTAATACGTCGTCCAAAAAAATTGCTACGTTGTCTATGCCCGCAAAAATATTATCAATTATCCTTTGAAAAATACCAGGGCTGGAAGCAACACCGTATGGCAACCGATTCATTTGAAACAATCCTTTATGGGTATTAAGGGTAGTTAGTTTTTTTGACGACTCTTCCAATTCAATTTGTGCATAAGCTTGCGACAAATCTATTTTACTAAAAAAATGTCCGTTATGTAAGGCTGCAAATAAATGTTCGATTTTTGGTATCGGATATTTATCTACTAATAAATTTGGATTTAGAGTTATTTTGTAGTCGCCGCAAATTCTAACTTCCCCTGATTTTTTAAGAACCGGTACTATGGGTGTGGCCCAGTGACTATATTCAATCGGAGTTATAATTTCTGACTGCACCAGATTTGTTAATTCTTTTTCAACTTTTTCTTTTAAAGCTAAAGGAAGATTACGGGCTCTACAAAAAATAGGAGTTGCATTTTCTTTTACAAACAGTTGACCTTTGCCTTTATTAAATTTGCCCAAACCTTCCGAAAATATTTGTGGAAATTTATTTTGTAACATTTTAGGAACATTTTCTATATCTGTACCACTTAAATGATTTATTTTTAAAAATTTATCTACCGAAATATTTAATTTATTTATCCATTTTCGTCCTAATATTGGAGGTCCACCATTTTTAATAATAAACAGTTTTAATTCTGCTGCTATGTTATTATATACAGCTGTAACATAAATAAACCCTAATATATTTAATATATCCCCTGCATAAGTTTTTAAATTTAAATTTGATTTATTTAATGGTATGTTACAAAATTTTTTTAAATAAAATTTATCGGATATAGCTGCAATTGGCGAACCAGTATCGCATTCCATAGATATTAATTTATTATTTACATAAATATCAATTTTTATGGGTTTTTCATTAGGCAACGTAATATTATTAAAATAACTAGTTTCAGAATCAGTATCTGAACAATTATTTTCAGTTGCTACAAATTTATTATATTGAAAATTTTTATTTAAAAAATGTTTACCACTTTTTTCCTTACATACGGTGCTGGTGTGTCCTTTCTTCCCACAGGTGTTGCACGAAGCATCTTTGAAGAAACAGACTGCTGATCGATGATTAGACTTTCCACAATGGGGACACCGCTGGTTTACATTGTTGCTATTTGAACAAGATGGCGCCTGCCAACGCGACTGGAATTTATGGTGTGACTTCCTTACCAAATTTATTTTGTTTGATTCTCCAATTAGATCGGAATTTATTTCTGCTGATTCCATGTTAACTGCTATCTCCAAAGCATGAATGTATGATAGGGTTTTTTCTTGAAACAATCGTTGCCGGATAATTTCATTTTTTAATCCGAAAACTAACTGATCCCTGAGCTGGGTTTCCAGGGATTGTCCAAATTTGCAGTGTTTGGAAAGTTGTTTTAATGCTGCCACGTAGGTAGAGATTTTCTCGCCTTCTTCTTGCTTTCTCTGTCGAAATTTGTAACGTTCGGCGATTTCTGACGGTATTGGTTGTAAATGCTCCCTTACCACTTTGGTCAGATTGGCAAATGTCTGATCTTGCGGGTTTTGCGGACTGCATAGGCTTTCCATGAGCTCAAAAGTTTCATCTCCCACTGCGGTTATTAACACTGCTGTCTTCATATTTTCTTCAATTTTATTAACTTTGAAGTATTGTTCTATGCGTGTCGCATACGAAGTCCAATTACCTTCGCCTAATTTAAAGGGTTCCAATTTGCCCACTGACATTTTTTTTTACCACTTTTAATTAAATTGTTATTTAATTTATCACCCCACTTGGTTAATTTAATTTAATTTAATTTAAACTTCTTATTACTGACTGCGCCAGTGTAATATCCCTAGTTTCCTGAAGAACTACAATTATTTTATTATTTTTCCCGTACTTCTTAATTATAATAAAACTCAATTAAATGCTGAATTGAAAGTGCCTTTATTCCGTGATTCCACATTGAAGCCGACGTTATCGCCATACAGTAAAAAACAGTACAAGATACCAGAATAGAAATTAATTGTATAGGGTGATGTCCATATATAATAATACAGTTTATTTAATACATTACAGTTACAGGTTAAAGAAAAACCACTACTAACTGCGAAACAGAAAAAAAATCGATTAAGATGGTCAAAAGAATATATGAGTTGGACTTCTCATCAATGGGATGCAATACAATGGAGTGACGAGGCCCGATTCGAAGTTTGTGTTGGAGATAGCAGAAGTCGAGTTATTCGCAAAAAACATGAAGCGTTCCATCCAGACTGTCTCAAAAGAAAAGTAAAATTTCCCGCATCGGTCATGGTCTGGGGCAGCATGTCATCTAAAGGAATAGGAAAATTGCATTTTATTGAAGGAATTGTAAATACAAATAAATATTTGGACATTTTGGAGGAATCACTTTTACCGACTATGGAATTATATTTGACATCAGGGAAAGATTTTGTATTTCAACAGGATGGAGCAGGGTGTCACACGTCAAAAAAAGCTCTAAAATGGATGGAAGACTTCGGTGTTCCACTTTTGGAATGGGTTTCTAGTAGTCCTGATTTATCACCAATAGAAACATTGTGGCATGAGATGAAAAAGGTACTTCGAAAACATCCTGCAAGAACAATACCTGAACTTAAACAAAAACTTCAAGATATATGGGATTCATTTACACCAGAATTTTGCCAAGGCTTGGTTAATACCATGCCGCAAAGAATTTCAGCTGTAATAAAAAATAAAGGTGACATTACTCAATGGTAAACTTTAAAATTGATTAACGTTTGATTCCAACTATTTGTTTATTTTTTTTTTAATTTTATATTAAATAAATATTTTAATGTTTTCTACATATTTTTTATGATTAAACGATATTAAACATATTGTTCAATGAATAAAAATTGGAAAGTTCATGCAATATTTATATTTTTAATCTTTAAATACGAATTTCCTAAATTTCAATAGGTGGGCCAACTGAAATGGGAAGGGGCTCGTATATTATACTCTTCACAGTTTAACAGATCTTTCCTTGACCCCCATTCTCAATCAGATTTTTTTCAGAATCATTAGGCTTCGTCCCCTTATAAAGCTTGATTTTTCCTGAAAATTTCAATTTGATATCGTTTTTTATACCTGAGTTAAGATTTTTTTCAATATTTTAATCCCCCTAATTCCCCCAGAGCTTAATTTTTACTAAACATTTCATGTTGATATCGTTTTTTAATTTCAATGTTGCTTAACCCCCCTTAACTCCCCTTAGCCCCACTCAAGCCCCATTAACCCCCCTTAACCATTTTGTTCACAAATTTATTTAAAATCAATAGGCTTTGTCCCCTTAAAGAGCTTAATTTTTGGTAAAAATTTTAAGTCCATATTATTTTTTTTAAATATTTCAACCCTCCCATTTTTATTCAGACTTTTTCATAATCAATAGAGTTCATCTCCTTACAGAGCTTGATTTTTACTAAAAATTTCATGTTGATATTATTTTTCGTTTTTGAGTTACGATTTTTTTTTAAATATTTTAACCCCCTTAAACCCCCAATTTAATTAGATTTGTTTCAGAATCACTAGGCTTCATTTTCTTATAGAGCTTGATTTTTACTAAAAATTTTCTGTTCATATCGCTTTTTGTTTTTGATTTGTTTTTTTTTAATTTCAACGCCCCATTTTTAGTCAATTTTTTTTTTTGAAATCAATAGACTTTGGCCACTTATAGAGCTTGATTTTTAGTAAAAATTTCAAGTTGATATCATTTTTCGTTTTCGAGTTATAATTGTTTTTAATATTTCAACCACCCTTAACTCCCCCATTTTTATTCAGATTTTTTTTTTCAAAATCAATAATTTTCTTTCCCTTATAGAGCTTGATTTTCTCTGAAATTTTCAAATTGATCTTTTTTCGTTTTTAACTTATCGTGGGGACAAAAAACATGACATGGGACGGACGGAACCAGATGCATAAATAATACTCTTCACAGACTATTATGTGAAGAGTAAAATAATATTCTACAATGATTTTATATTTTAACAATTTGTAATAATTTTTTTTATTTTTTAATAGTGTGAACAATAACATCTACTTTAAATTTTGTCCATGGCATCTTATATTCTCTTTCTCTGACAATAAAATATAATATTATTATGAATATTCAATTTACAACATGTTTTTCGTTGACATGCCACTTAATACACCCCAAGAAAGCCTCCCAAAAAATACGCATTTAATAAAAAACACTTATTCTCATATCTTTTTCCCCCAGAAGTAAAAGACTAAATTATTTTTATTTACCAAACAGATCAAATCGATTAAAAATAAAACATGTCCTGACGACTATTGTTTTATTTAAATTTTCAGATAAAACAGATAAACGGTATCTAGATAAAAACATTGTGAAATAAAACGAACAATCGCCATAAATCAATTTTATTTTAATTTTGAAAGTTCTGCAATATTTCGTGTTATTGAGCAGTGATTATGGCTAATAGTGAAGAAGTTAGTGATACAAACAAAGATAGTAAAATCAATGTTCCTGATTCTAAGGACCCTAAACAAGCTAGAGATGGAAATATTTTGTCAGAAATTATAAGAGTAAGTAGTTCAAAACAAACAATTTTAACAATATTGATTTTTAAAAAATATTCAAAGCCAAATCTTTATTTTTTCCGAGAATTTTTTCCTGTAGAAATATACCATAAATCAAAATTAATTTGTCACTTTGACCTCGAAAAATTTTTGTTCTCCGAATTTTCCGACTAAAATTTTGGAAAAACTAAAAATTCGTGTAAGTATACTAGGGTGACCATATTTATTTTGACCCAATGCTGAGCACTGAACACAAATACAAACAACATTTATTAAACTTGAAGAGATGAGGACTTTTTTAAGCTACCAAAGACAAAAACGGAGAAGTCATGTATTATGTTTTTGTCTTTGTTACGTTTGTATTTGTTACGTTTTAGTAAATGTTGTATTACATTAATGGCGTTTTGCTGGACAAATAGAGCGTTTTACTGGAAAAATATAACGTTTTGATGTACAAGATCATATGCTGAACAGACTGAAAATGCTGTACACTACAGCAAAATGCTCTACGTATATTCACTCTAGCTTATAGGTTAGATTGAAAATTCTTGCAGTATCTCTCCATTTCGTCAGTGTAGCACCGTTCGCCCATTTTGAGATAATTCCTTTCACAGTGCTCTTTGCAATTCCTAGGAATGGTTCTGGTTCTACGAACTCAGATTTGTTCCTCTTTTAGCTAGCACGTCGGCTTTTTCATTGCTCTCCACGCAGCTGTGTCCCGGAACCCAGATCAAAGTAACTTTGTTCCGGGCACCAAGACGTTCAAGGATATTTATACAGTTCTAAACCAGCTCTGAGTCAACTCGATTGGAGATCAGAGCCTTGAGGACTGCCTGCCTATCCGAAAAGATCTTCATAATCTTATTTGAGGAAAGAAAATTAATCAACTCTCTCGCTCCCAATTCTATAGCAATCGTTTCTGCTTGGAAGATCGTGGCCAGAGAGCCTAGGTTTATTGATATGTCTACTATTGGCTTCTGGATAAGAAAAACTCCCGCTCTTACTCATTTTTCAGTTTAACGGGCTTGCCCGAAGACGTCCGTCTCAAATATGCCCATCTAGAATTATCTCTTTTAGTGTTTTTAGGAGAAAGGATGTAAGGCATATTGAGCGATAAGAGTTTGGTAGGGAGGTATCTACTCTAATCAGCCTTGTATATCCAACTCCCGTTATCGTCCACCCTAGCGGGATATAGCTCCACGCCGGGCTTGCTCTAAACAGCCTCACAAGGAGGGGTAGCAAGAGTTCATATCATTTTTACAAAAAGCAGGAAATATGCCATGCTCTCCAGGTGATTTGAATGGGGAGAATTAATTCTTGGATCGTATGATCAATTCCGTTAAAGGAGTGGGTACATGTTGCTTGTCCTCCAGGATTTGACTGCCTGAGAAGTGTTTCTGTAAAAGAATCTCTAACATATCCCTGATAGAGTCCATATAGGTGTCATCGGGTCTTTCTATGGAGTCGACTTCCTCTCTCGGATCTTTGGCGAGAATCTTGTGAACAGAACTTACTCCACGATTTTTATCTAGTATCGAAATGTTTCTGATAAAGCAGATTTTCCATGAAAATTAGGATAACATTTAGGACGATAGCTTTTCCGGGAAAAACTTAATTTTAAATTTTCCTTCGAAAAGTGGATTTAAGCGGAATGACAGCGGATTTATCCGTTTCCAGAAGTTTCCTTTTCTAATCGAGAAAATCACCAAACTTTGCTTTTTGTTTTCTGATCCAAAAAATTATATTATTTATTGTTTCCTTTAAAAAAGAATAACGATGGTTGTTGGGGTTTTTCCGGATGTTCCTAACCTGTAAATCAAATAAAAACATCAATCAACTGTAAGTTAATGTTTATTTTTATGCCATTTTCCTCACTTCTGCTTTTATCTTTCTTAAACCCACTTGTTTGTTTTTTAGACCACGCAGTTATCTATCTCGCAATATAATTGATTAAACCCATTATCTAAATTAAAAAAGAAGACGCCACTGTCTTTAATACGTATTTAAATTTTAATCTAACAGGTGACATTCTGTTTATGATTTATTAATCAGTGATTAATAATCAAAAAGTATATCTGACAAAATCAATATTACGTTTCTCAGTTTAAGTAAGCGAGTTGTATTATAGTTAATAGAATATATACGAGTATTATATGACAGCAATACTCATACAGGGTTATATAAAATGCCGGTAGGAGTAAACGAGATAGGTGGTAGCTCAAACCTAGCAATTTTGGTAAGCAATTTTACATTAAAAAAACTCCCAATTTTAAAACATAAGTAAGGTTCTTCACTCAATATGGCACCCAAACTAAACAATTAGGCATTCCAAACAAAATACAAAATGTCTGGCTGTGAGTTATGATATGGCAACCTTGTGGGCCTCGTGATTTGACAGGGTCAATGATATAGATATAGTATAATCATCCATGTTTTCAAAATTACCATAAGCCTTGCAGTAAAAATGTAGGTAATTATTTTTTACTATATTCAAAGGCTGAAAATTAGTTTTAAGACACTTTTGCTAAACTGATTCTGATTAATGAGCACTTGCGATTCAATATGGCCGCTCACAAAACGACCCGCTTTGAGCAATTTATATGAATAAATATGTATCATTGACCCTGTCAATGACAGCAGGCCACAGGATTGCCACATCTAAACTGTCAGTTCTCACTTGTCAGCATTTTGACAGGTCGTTGGAATGCGTAATATATTAGATTGAATCATATAAAGCTATGATAAATAGAAGTAGCGTTAACGGTAGAAGTTGTCACATACATACATTTTATCTACTACTTATTTACATTAGGACTAATAACAACCAACCATCGAGACAGAATGAAATATAGACGACATAAACACTATTTTGCGATATGACAAATGGATGCACTTCGAGTGATGGAAAAGTGTTATTAAAATGGCGACTTAGAGTCGTACTTTAATTTATTTAAAGTCAATAATTTTATATTTGAAGATTGAAGGAATCAAAATGTTTTTATATCATTTAAATGCCGCTATTTTTACCAAAACTGACTAGTTACACTAGGTTGAGTTTGACATATGACGTAAAAGTGTAGTGCAAAGGTGTGTACACTTTAAGTATCGTCATAGCATCATCTCTTCTTTATTCTCAATGCAACTAACTAAAACGAAGTATTTCTTTTTATTTTTTAATATTTTTTCCACTTCTCCTTTTTTTCTTTTTCTTCTTCTTTTTGTTCCCGAATAAAGCATTTGTAAACAAAGTAGGGACCACCAGATCTCACGATTCAGTTCTATGAGTCTCACGATCTCACGATAATGCGCCTCATTCTCACGATATTTTTAAACAAGCTGCTTGCAGTAAAAAACCTTAGGTTTTTGTGTAAAACAATTATTTTTAATTAATCATATAATTGAATTATGCTGTAGAGTCCGACTCTGGAACGCTTTGGCCAAAACATGGCGGACAACTGACACTTGTTGACAGTCTCAGCGGTGGTTCCCGACTGTTGAATTTGCAGGCTTGCAGTGGTCAATTCCCTAGAATTTTTTCTTTATTAGATAAGTTTATATGAACATTCAAAATGAGTATTTTAAAACATTTAGATGGTCCTGGAAAAACAAAAATCCTCTCTTACTCCCAAAAAATTTGTCAGCCAAAATGACAGAAAACTATTTTTTGTCATGATCTATTATACGTGTTAGAACGGTGCTGAGAGTCAAAAGTCGGCCATCCCTTGCTCTCCGCTCGGACAGAGTACATATTAATCGAAAATGCTATATTTCACTAAATTGCGCATGCGTTGTACAATCTCAAGATTTTTTTCATGATCAAATTCACGAATTTAGGCTCAGTACATCTGGGATCTCTGGGGACCACCGCCTAGATTCAATATTTCTTGATAGATCTTTACGAATCTTTAAATATAAAGATGCCTAATTAAATACAGGGTGATTCAAAATTGAGTGCAAAGATTTTAAGGACATATTTACCAGCCAAAAATAAGAAAAAATTTTCAGATAATCATATGTCCCAACTTGCTTCGTTTTCTAGATACAGGGAGTCAAAGTTTTTTTTTAAATTGGTTTTTTTATCAATTACTCAAAAACCCTTTAGCCAATTTAAATAAAATTTGGTAGGCTTATTTATCGTCATAAGGGTCTTCGTTTGGTGAGTATAAAATAAATTTATTAATTCCAGTGGCGTTTCAGAGGGCTACCTACTTGATACTTATAGGTAAAATTATGGTACGGCACTGCTTTCTTGACAATTAAAAATTCTTTTTAGATTAAGTGGTCAATAATGTAACTTACTTTCTTGCCTCATGAGCTTTACTCGTATCTAGCTTTGTTTCCAAGAAAAAAATCAAAATCTGTGCCTGGCCCTATTAAAACAAGTAAAAAATTAATTACCAAATGATGGAGATTGTCGCTAAATAGGTATATCTTTTTTATTTGTGTTATGAAATTTCATTGATTATTTATTCCAGTGGCGTCTCAAAGTGTGATTTTATTTAATTAATAATTGTTAAAAAAAAACGATTTTTTTTTAAAAAAACTTTGACACTCTGTATCTAGAAAACGAAGCAAGTTAGGACATACATTTTATATTATATATTTATTTTTGGCTGGTTAATACGCCCTTAAAATCTTTGTACTCAATTTTGTATAATAATATTGTAGAGTTGCCACTTATACAAATAATTCATGACTTAATGATACATTTACTACATTTCTAATTAATTTTTGTTATATTTTTTTTGTAGAAAACCTTGGATGTCAATAAATATGCCACGAAGAAAACAATCGCTCAAGGCCTCCTGGACGTGGCTTTGTTAACTGCAAATGCGTCACAGTTGAAATATATCCTTCAAGTTGGAGAAAAACATGAATTTTATGCATTGATGCTGACTCTCATATCAATATCGATAGTACTTCAGGTAAGACCGTAGAAAAACATCTGTGATATTCCAGAGATACTTTTCTGTTGTCTTCATTCTTCTTCTTCTTTAATTCCATTCTTTTTCATCTTCAACACCTTCTACATCACTCCATCGTCTTGGGCGCTTAGTTTCCAGAGACTCCTTCAACGTCTCTTCAACCGCCAAACAAGAGAACTCGATAGAACGTACTTTGACAGCTCGATTTTCTGGTCTGGTACACTCCTTTTTATACTACTTACCTTTTATATTATTTTGACCATCTATTCTACATTTCTGAGATTCCGGTACATAATGTCTATCTATACTACACATTTTTGGTAACTAAAAAAATATTTTCTATACTTTTTTTCCAAATCTGAACAGACATGTATCATACGTTCTGCTGTTTTGTCTTCCACGTAGCAGAAGACTGATGTTTGATACAGATCTGTCTTCATTATGTTTTTTTTTGGCCCCTTATCAAATCCGCATGGAAATTAATGGGTAAAGTTTTACTGCAGCCTCGCTTAGGCTCTATGGGCGTAACGTACAATGAACCCACAACCAATGGTCTCGAATTATCACTTATTGTACCTTTCATTAGGGGGCCAATTGTCTTGGAGACGTATTATCACTCATTAAACAACAGAATGATATTTTGACCAGAAAAAACAATAATACCCTATACATTTGATCATTCTCACCCTATATTATTTATATTTATATTTCGCAGATTTTAGTTGGGATTCTGTGTCTAAGTTTGCATCTACTTCATGATTGTAGACTTCACATCGAGGCATATCATCGAACGGCTATATTTTTTAATCATCTCACTACGATTTTTGCTTTTGCTATCACCCTTTTGAACTTGATTATATCTTGTTTCGATCCTAGCATAGCTAAATACGCCGTATTTGATACCCCCGATATTTCATCTTTGGATATTAATTAATTATTAAAAAAATACTATTTTTAAAAATTAGTTGACAAAAATATATGTTTGAACTAAGGACTTTAATTGTGCATGAAGCAAAAGCTGTTCATGAATCTCATATTTCTTAATATAATATGGTCAGTTGTCAAAATAATTTAAATAATTATGTTTTATCAGTCAGTGCCTGGGACTTTAAGGATACTAATTTTGTGTTTCAAACATTTCAAGAATTTTTAATTGAAATAAGATATAAAAACTTTACTAGATTCTTTTTTTATCTTCCTCAAATAGGGATAGGTAATTTTAGAACTTTTTATCAATTTTCTATCAAAATTATCTATTTTATTAATAAAAATAAGTCGAGCGCTAATGAAACAAAATCAAAGATACAGAATCAGTTGAAGTATAAAGAATAAACTTTATCCAAATCACCTGTGGACAAGATATACTATATCGCTCACCGGCGACAATAGTGGCACATCTAAGAAAATCACAAAACCCGTTAAAATACGTGAAATAATTTAAAATTTGATGAAATTTTATCCAACAATACTGGCATAAAATTAGGTCAAATAATCTCTTCGAAAAGGCGCTTGTGCCACTACGGGCTACCGCGAGCTGAGCTCCTTAACACCAGCATATTTTGAGCAATAGTGACACATCTAAAAAGTAGCAGCGATTTGTTTCAGCATTAGTGGCACATTTTATGTGTTTCGATTATTTTAGTTAAATGTGCCAGTATAGTTGATACAATGGGTGAAACTTTTAATAATTAGGGTGGAGAAAAATTACTTAGACTCGTTTTTTTGACAAAAAGTCTTTTAAAAATACAGATTTTAAGCAAGTTCAAGTGATTATTGCAAGACGTTCAAAAACATCCCTCTCTATTTTTCTACGCTTACGACTGAAGAAAGCTTACGATAGTCCCATACTTATTGCTAAGAAAAAATATGATGACCTCGGGTTTTTGTTAAGAACCAACGCTATTAAAAAATGTCACAGTTATTTTTATAAGTTTAAATTTTGAGTAAAAAAAATGATTAGACGTTAAGTAAGACTGATTTTTCAGAAAATGTAGAGGTATTTTTAACATAGGATAGCTTTCTTTTGTTACATATTTCTCTCTTATAATGCCATTTTCAATAATGCAAGAGTATCCCCTATATTTTCTTTTTATTTAAAAATAACACAACAGTTTTCATTGCACTTTTTAGAAGTTTTCATCAAAACCGTGTCACTTGGTTTCAACAATAGTGGCACATCTAACAAATATCACCTTTTTTGAAAACAAAAAAGTAACTAACACTCCGCGATTATTTAGCACATAAAAACACACCCATAATCACAGTAAAGTTCAATAATGATATTACAACATGAAAAATTAAAATAACTGAAACTTTAAATGCAGTTTTCTCCATAATTTGCAATTTTGAGTTGTGCCACTATTGTCGCCGGTGAGCGATATAATGTTCAACGGACGCCTATGATGTTCTACACTAAATTAGTGAAGTAATTTTGGTTCCACTGACAATTACAGTGACTATGAAGCAGTGACAGTATATTTTTTGAGTGCGTTTTGTTCATTTTATTTACCTAAATTATATTGATTTTTAGACTTTTATAAATATATTTCTAGAGTAAGTATATAACATTCATCAAGGAAATAATCATTTAGTAACCAATTACATACCTTTAAACTACTTTTTATTACCTGCAGACGATATTTAATAAAAAATAAAAACAGTAAAAACGTATATGTCAAATATTGTTAAAAGTTTGGTTATAATTAACTGTAAGTGGAACCAAAATTACGTCACACTTTTTTGGAGTATTAGCTAATAGTAGCACTAGCTCTCTTACATTTATTCGTTTCTCTGACTGTCCTCTCTTGTTTACTCTAAGTAAGTTCGGACAGACAAGTTCCATTCACTCCTTTAATTAACTCCAAACGACCCTATTAGCGTTCGGTTTGTTCCGACTAGTGACAGTTCAATACGCTTAAGGATATGGTCCGTTATGAACCGACTATTAACCTACTAACTGCTAGTAACCAGGATTTTTTGACAGCGGTTCCTGAAAAAAACAATTTCTTGATTACTTTTGGACCACGGCCGAGATTTACGTCACTTTTGTGACAGATTGACATTCGACTTAATAGTAACCGTAAAAATATAGCGGTTAGTGAATTGACGTTTGAGTCACCATTTTCAGGTAACCGCGTCCCTAATTTAACCGATTTTTCAGGAATGTCAAGTAGAGCGGTTAGTTTTGGACCGAATAACCTATATTTCGGTTAATAACGGACCATACCCTAAATGTGATTTAAAAGCACGCTCCTGTCCCGAACTCACCTTGTTAGTATCTTGTTTTTATTGTTGTCAAATTCAAATTGAGTGTCTATCTTTTTCTTCATACTATATTGCTTTAATTTTTATTCCGGAACTTAAATCTAAATTCTTCTTCATTTTCTTCGTCTTACGACGCTTCCTATTATTATAAAAGTATATTTTAGTAAATAATGTTAACAAATTTATCAACAGAAAATTGTTTTTCTTTTCAGTTCATAGTGGCATTGCTTTTCGTGATAATCGGCGGTTTGAACATAAACAAACAAAGGGATCAACAAGCTGCGATTATTTTGAACGATGTTATATTGATTTTTATTTTTTTAATTTCGATTATAAACATTATTATTTCCGGGTTTGGTTTAGATTATTCCAGTGAACCCCTTAGATTACTCGATGATCATTAAGTAGGTACCCAAAAAATCAGTCTTTTGAATTTAAGCAAAAAATAACTCTGTGCGTCCGTGCCTTAATAGTCCAGGCAAGAAATGGTTTCTAGACAGAGCACTCACTTTTCGTATGTGTTTGGAGATGAATATATCAAAAGTTCTGTGGTATGTGCTTAAGACTAGGTAATAAAGAGAGGACTTATAACGCCGCTGAAAATCTTGTTCCATTATGACACCAACGATATTCGACCAAAGGCGTTACATGTTGGAAATAAAAAAACGAACTTGTATTTATGTTATTAGTACTTTATTGATCTTTTTAAGTATAAAGCAAGTTCAAAGCGTAAAATTTAAAATAAATAAGTAACAAGAAAAAAATATATTGAAAAAAACTGAATGAAATTGTTTTTTAAATTCCGCAAAGAAAACAATGATCTACATTACAAAAAAATGTATTTTTAGTTAATAAAGAATGACACTACCCAGATAGCATAGACACGTTTTAAATACATCTTAAAGACGTTTGTTCACGACGTTCGTGACGTTTTTAAGACAAACCGTATTGGACGTGTTTAAGCCGTCTATTTACTTGATGGAAATTCGTTTAAAAAAATAAGCAAATACTTGTCTACTATATTTAATACTGTTTATTATATATCATTAAACTATTAAAACTGACACAGAGTAAATATTATTTTACAGTGTTGGATAAAATAATTAGAAAATGAGTTTAGGTATTTGTTGCTATGAGAAACTATTCCCAGAAATCCTACTTTTTCCAGTTTGGTCGATTTAAAAACTTCTTTTGTGGTATTAATTTTAGGCAAAGCCTTTGTAACGAATGTCCCCGTAACATAAAATTTTGTTGAATTATTGATTTAAGTTGTTTTTCTAAAAAAAAAATACGTGTGGCACTCGGGGATTGCCGCGGTAAAGCTATTGCATATCATTTTTTTATCAACTTATGCAATTATAATTATTTATTTATTTTATTTATGCAGATTTTTTTTTCTTTGATATTAATTCAAGTTTTTTCTTTGATATTAATTCAAGTTACACTTTTTGAGCGTGGTGACCGATAAGAAAACAAATTTTTTTCTTTTATTGAGTAAATGAGAAGTTAATATTGTTTAAAATATTTTTATTATTTTACAATACATTTAGGTTATTTATGGTAACTGAAATAAGAAACATAAGTTTGAGACTTGATATCCTCCTATAAATATCTGGAAAATACCGCGTCAATGGTGGTCCCATATTTTGTTGTGGATTCTTATGGATCATTATTCATTTTCAAATTCAATTTTTCCGAAATTGTGTCTAAAAGAGATAGAATCAGTTATGAGCAGTTAGCAGCTAGTCTACACGCATACGTCTAGTCGCACGCACACAAACACCGTGCCGAAGTCTGCCGAACTGAAACGACGGTAGACGATGCATGGCTTTCAACGCCGCACCGCTGTGTCAGTCGGAGTGGGGGGTGTTAGGTTTATTTTCGTTACGGAATTTCTTTTTCGATTTTTTGATTTTTCGATTATTCGATGTTTCGATTTTTCGATTTTCTTTTATTGAATAAATGAGAAGTTAATATTGTTTAACGCCGCACCGTTGTGCCGGTCGGAGTGGGGGTGTTATTTTCGTTACGGAATTTCTTTTTCGATTTTTTGATTTTTCGATTATTCGATTTTCTTTTATTGAATAAATAAGAAGTTAATATTGTTTAACGCCGCACCGAGTGCCGGTCGGAGTGAGCGGTGTTAAGTTTTTTTTTTCGTTACGAAGTTACGGAATTTCTTGATTCGGTCTCCGCGCTCAAAGCCCGCGATAAAAGCTATGCAATAGCTTAATAAGACATTATTAAAGTAGGTTATGAAATTAAAAGTGTAACATCCTAGACCATAATATGATGGTTGGTTACAACACAAATTAAACACATCTAATTTCATATGATGTTTCTTTATTCATTTTTAAGTCCTAACTGACAAAACCCCAATCGTGTATTCTTCCGGCTTATCAAGGCATCTTTTTATGTATATAAAGAATTACACCGTGGCCCAAACAAACCGGCTTACAAAATAAATTAATATATATCACAAAAAGGCAAATAAATTAAAACTTGCCGTTTTTAATGAAAAAGTTTACTAGTTCCGGTATAACACAGTTCCAATAATGACAAATAAATATTATAAAAAAAAAACAATATATAAAAACACAACCACGAAAAAGTAATGACAATGCCCACAGACTGACGCTAAAAATATAGAATGGCAGACCCGAGAAGAAGGCAGCCAGAGGAAGAACACGACTCGATACGCGCGCGCGAGAATATGCAATCAGCCAATGACGATCATACATGCGCTGCAGGCAGCGCCAAGAACGGTGTCGTGGCGCCATATTCAAATATAGCGAAAAGAGTTGAACGTCCACATTACCGACATTAAAAACGTCCTAAAAACATCCCAATAAAGACGTTTTAAGCATGTCTAAACCGTTAGTTTTACGTACTAGGACGTTTGGGCGAAAGTAAGACATGAACTGAGCGTCTTTAAGATGTAGTATGCTATCTGGGTATTATTAAATTAAGCTAGTAAGAAAAATTGTACATAAATGTAGATAAATTTATTACTGACCCTTAAATAATATTAATTTGGTATAATAACAAGAAGTTTTAGCGAAACAACTCTTTTTTATATCTTTTAAGTTTTTGTTTAAGAACTTCGATTTGTCTTGTTTTTTTCTTTATTCTTTTCTACCTGTTGTAAAAGTTATGTTCTAAGCCGTTTTATGCTAGGGCTTTCTAGGATAGATTCCTTATTTGCAGTTCTATTTGAAGGGCCTGGCTTAGCTTCCAAATGTAATGCTCTTCTGTTTTAAGTCCTACAAACAAACAATCAATTATTACGATAATGTTTTGAATTGTACACAAAAGGGTTACTAAATTCTTAAAAGTGCATAACATAATAATGAAAAGTAATTAAAAAAATATATGAATTTAATTATGTTTATTAGTATACGCACATTCTTCGGCTAATGTATTTAGGGAATTCAGAAAATATAGTGGGAACTGCTCCAGTCCGTCCCATAAAAAAAATGTTTTTCAAAATGTTTTGAACACAATCTATCATTTGGCGTAGGTATCCAATTTGCAATTTTCGTGGTCTGAAGATTTTTTTTGTGTTAAAAATTCCTGCAAAAAGGGAAATTTCCCTCCAGTTGGCAACACTGCCTGGTTTGCTTTGTGAAATTCGGGGTTTACCAGATGGAATTGTATTCAATTAAGGCGATTTGCAGAACATGCAAATTGTTCTGTGTTTTAGCATTGTTTTTATAGGTAATTACTTTCTTATTTTAGCGAAATATTCATAATAAAAATGTATGGCCGATATATCGGTATCAGCCACATTTCGGTCAATCCCGATGCAATACTTTTGGTATATTCACCTTCAAACACCTCCGAAAACAGTCAAAAAAAGTGCGTACAAAAAACTGTACGCAATCAATTTTGGAAATTTCCTTGATTAGATTAAAAACCTTGATTGAAAATTTGAAATTCACAAAAATGAGTATGTTTTTTCTGTACAGGTCACGGCAGGTCTGTTGTCAGTTCTCGTGGCTGTTCTAAGAGAATCCGAGGAAGAGAAATTAAGTAATTTAGCTTGGATTTTGAATCACATGTCATTGGCGTTCGTCACAGGAGCTTTATTCAGTGATATTATTAAAATGAACTTCGGTTTGGATCCCGCAGTACGATTTAATGCCACGGTTATCAAAACTAAATAAAACCGCTTTTTTACTGTACAAAAATAATTTTAACAGATTGAAGTAAAAGGGGTTCAAATCGGCGTATACTTTTTGTTATCATTTTTTATTTTTATTTATTTTATCATTTTCACCTTTTTTTTATTTTTATTTTTCTTCTCTTTTTCTTATTAAGATCGTTCAAGCTTGCTTATGCATATTCCTCGGCACTGCCATCGATATTAATAAACACGATGACCATGACAACGCCAATAAAGCCAACAATGTCATCATGTGCGTCAACATCGTTATAATGGCCGTCAACGTTGTTATCAATTCTTTCGAGATGAGGTCTCCGGATGAAGTCACTGGATGACGTTGGAAGTTCCACAATTTCAACTCTAAGGAACCGTAATGAAAATTGTGACATTTTAAAAATAGTGCTGTGAAACATTAGCGTGATAGATAAATCTCTATTGCGCCCAAGATTGGTAATAGCTTTGTTCGTAGAATAATAAAAAAACTGCTTTTTAATTTTTATAAGTCTCATTCGTAATAAATGTTACAAAGAGTGATGCATAAAAAATGTTTCTAAAGTGGGTCAAAGTTATGTCCGTGGTACCGCGCACGGATCTGAATTAAATCCAACCTGGCATTAAAAAGAAGAAGAATTGAATGCTCTGATCGCAAATATTTCATTATTTACCATTTCACCGTCTAGCGACGAATCCTAGCAACTTGGGTTTGAGTAATTCTTTGTCAAATTATTGAATGAATATAATTGTAGCTTCTAATTAATTTTGATTATTTAATAATATTTAAAATTAGGTAGTAATAAAAAAGTAACCAAACCGATATACAAAAAATGTATACAAGTAATGAATGAAAAATTCAAAAAATTATCTGCGCCTGGCTGGTACTAGCAAGTAGCAACCGCTAGAGTCGCCTGGCAGTGTATTTATATTAATTAAACTAGAATAAATTTATATAATGCTTGGCATTCTACATTGCATTCTTTACCGTACCCCCATTTTCAATCAGATTTTTTCAGAATCAGTAGGCACCATCCCCTTATAAAGCTTGACTTTTTCCAAAGATTTTAATTTGATATCTTTTTTGTTTCAACCCCCCTTATTTTCCATTTTTATTTATTTAGTCATTGATTTTTACTGAACGTTTCGTGTGTATATCGCTTTTCGTTTTTAAGATTTTTTTTTAATTTCTTAAACATCCATTTTTAATCAGAATTTTTCAAAATCAAAGAGCTTCTTCCCCTTATAGAGCTTGATTTTTGCTAAAAATTTCAAATTGATGTCATTTTTCGTTTTTGAGTTAATATTTTAATCCCCCAAATTATTTAGATTTTTTTCAGAATCAATAGGTTTTATCTTCTTATAGAGCCTTATTTTTACTAAAAATTTCATGTTGATATCGCTTTTCGTTATTGACTTTTATTTTTTTTTTATTATTATTATTATTATTATTATTATTATTATTATTATTATTATTATTATTATTATTATTATTATTATTATTATAACCCCCTTGAGCCCCATTTTATCCAGATTTTTTTTTTAAATCAGTAAGCTTTGTCTCCTTATAGAGCTTGATTTTTGCCAAAAATTTCAAATGGATATTATTGTTCGTTTTTGAGTTAGGATATCATTAAATAATTCCCCCTGTAAGTCCCCTTTTTCATTACACACTTTTTTTCAGGAAAAAATAGGCCCCTTCTCCGTTTAGAGCTTGATTTCTATTAAAAATGTCATATTTATATCGCTTCTATGTTTTTAATTTCAACACTCCTTAAACCCCCCCCCCCCCCCATTTTTAATAATTTTTTTTTAAGCAAAGCGATTTCAAGTTAATATCATTTTTCGTTTTTGAGTTTCAACCTCCTGTAAACGACCATTTTCCCTAAACATTTTTTTTTTTTTTTAGAAAAAAATAGCCTTTTTCTCCGTTTAGTGCTTCATTTTTACTAAAAATTTCATATTTATATCTCTTTTATGTTTCTATTTTTTTTTTTAATTTCAACATCCCTCAAACCCCCCTATTTTTAATCATTTTTTTTTTTTCAAAAGCAAAGAGTTTTTCATTTTATAGAGGTTGATTGTTGCTAACGATTTCAAGTTAATATCCGTTAATATCCGTTTTTGAATTAATTTTTTTTTTAATTTTAACCCCCTTAACCCTCAAATTTAATTAGATTTTTTCAAAATCAGTAGGCTTCATCCCCTTATAGAGCTAGATTTCTGCTAAAAATTTCAAATTGATTTTATTTTCGTTTTTGAGTTATTATATTTTTAAATATTTCAACCCCCCTCAACCCCCATTTTTATTTAAATTTTTACAAAATCAGTAGGCTTTGTTTTCTTATAGAGCTTGATTTTTCGTGAAATTTTATGACTTTTGAATTATCGTGCGGAGAAAAAACGTGACATCGGACGGACGGACAAAGTAAACCTAATACTCTTCACATGCTAATGTGTGATTTGTGTGAAGAATATAATGTTTCAAAGATTCCTGAAAGTTTTAGCCTTGTAAAAACAAGTTAATTTAATTTTTAATTAAATTTTTGACATATTCAAAAATTCAACTGGTATTAAATTAAAAATCTATAAATTTTCAGCATACAATTTAACACATTACTACTTTAGCTCGTAGACTTAAACCTTATAAACCCCATGTGTCCCAGACTGGCTCACATTATAGGTTTATTGCAGACCTATTTGATAACATAAAGGTACGTTTACATCTGACATTTATTGCATGATATTTATGTCTGACAGTTGTTTAGTCCAGTGTAAACACTCAAAAATATATGTCCGAGAGAAATTTTTGTGTGTTTACACTCTACTAAACAACTGTCAGACATAAATCTCATGCAATAAATGTCAGATGTAAATGTACCTTTAGGCATGCAGATTCTACGTTTTTTTATGGTAAATAAGAGAACTCAGGACGGTAAATATAAATCTATCTTAGTTCAGTAAACCTATGTGATTCAAATTTTGGAGGTTAGAGGCTTTGTTTACGGCATTGCTTTTATGACCATTATGTGTTTTTTTGTTGCCTACACATCTATTACTAAGAAATATAATAAACCTTCACACGCTGAAAGAGAAAGATGGGGTTTCTGTTATTTTAAAAATTTTGAAACCGTTTGTAATCGTCCCTATGTTTTATTAAATTTTGACTGCACCCGAAGATGGAAAATTTTTCTTAAACACATGTAGTGCTGTGCTAAACGATTGAAAATAAAAACATGACCGAATAAATCAAGGAAATTTTTATTTGTATAATAAAATAAATTAATCATACGACCATAATATCTAATATTCGTTGTAATAATATTATTTGAGCATTATCATGTATGTGACACAATCTAGTACATATGGTCTCGACTAGAAGCAATCAGGAAAAATTTTATGTAATAGACCATGTTTACCTGATGTCTACACAGGTTTTTTTTTGTTTAAAATGTCAGAAAATCAAGACGCCATATGGTTAACAAAACTAACATAGTTTTGATTTCAATATTAGATAAAAAATTTAGTCTCAAATGAAAAGAATGTTTTTATATCGTGGGGGCTTAATGTGCTAATTTACCGGAAAAACGATAGGACAAAATGTGAATATTGTTAGAATAAAACTAAACATATATAGTTAAATAAGAAATAAAAACGGATAAAGGTACAGAGATTCGATTGCACAATCACTTGCTTCAGTTACTTTCAGTTGCTAACGACTTATCCATTAGACCACATTCGCTCGATGCTTTTAAATGCGAAACTTGTATAATATGTATAATATATTATTTTATTGTATCATTTGACAGCGAACTAATCAAACGCAATTTTCTAGGACTCGTTCGCTCTGACACACATGGATTTTTCAAAGACCTACTTCCGAAACCTTTATGTAGATTACTCATTATTTAATTCTTAAAGAAAACTGACATACATATAATTGTAATTTGTTATTATAGTATGTTCCAAGAAGAAAAGTACTGCTTTGTTACAGTGGTATGAGCGAAAGTGTCGTCATAATTTGCGCCATTTTGAAAATGTGATAATCAATGGCGTAATGATTTAATTTTTGTAGATTAACAAAATGTTATTTTGTAAAATAGTTTTTTTATATATTTGATAAATATATATAGAAAGCTTGAAATCTGAATATATACTTACAGGTGTTTGTCAAGATGTTTCATTACAGAAATAATTGTCAAATTCAAATTATTAGGTACTTATCAACTTTAGTATTCATAATTCATAATCCATATATTAACATTTTTGGAATATCCTCGGTAAACTAGTTTCAATAAAGAATCATATCTACTTAGGCCTTAGTATGTGAAGTAATTCATTGATTTTGAATTCAAAATAAATTAAAAATTTCATTTTTTTTACTATGAACATCTCTTACATCAAAACCGTTAAAAATTGAACATTAATCACCATCAAAATCACCAATAATTTTATTATTAAATTGAGAACAAAGCTATTATTTTTTAACTAATACCAATAAATCTATAAAAACAAACTCGCATTAATTAGTTGATCATCCTGTATATTAAAGTATAAATTCTTATGTATAGATCGATCTAACTAAACCACTTTTTGTTTGTAAACAAATACATTTTTATTTGAGATTATTTTTATTAAATTAAATAAAAGAGAAAGTTATTTTTTTTTTTTAGATAAAAAATAAACAAAAAATTATATTGATATTTTTATAATTATTAATGATTTTTTTATATTTATAATATTTATTATTAAGTATTATTAATTTAGTTTTACTCGCCAAACAGTAGGTAATTTTAGTTAGATAAGAATATTTTAAAAATAAACAAATTGAAAACTGATAATGGGTTTTATTTACTTTTACTTAATCATCAAAATATTCTAGATTTCAATTCAGTGTATTTCATATCATCTTTCTGGTATTTAATTCTTGTCTAGTTAAGTTTTTAACATCATTAAAAAATATAGTCCGGTAGGTAAGCAAAACACTTTTTTGATTTCAAACATAAAAATTTTGAAATTTGAATTATAGTAGAAATATCTCGTTTTTACGATAAATAACTGCAGATAAAATAAGTTAGAAATTGGTGGGTATGTCTTATTTGACTGGAATTTGATGGCTGCCAGGTTAAGTTAAGAGTTAATAATTGGGACATGTAATACACATTCCAATAACTTTTTGTCAGGTGAAACACGTAATACCTATTTAAATACTTTTTTGCCAGGTGAAACAATTTTCCCCCTATCAACTCTAAGGGTTATTTTGCTATTGACAATTTTAACATAATCAGTTTCAGGTACTAGAAAAAACGCGCTAGATTGCTGAGACTACTTCGTACACATAATATCTAATCAAATACCTTTTTCCTAGATTAAACCATTTTTTCAAGGGGTACTTTGCCCTTGTCAATTTTAATAAAATCAGTGCCAGGTACTAGAAAAAATACGCTAGATTGCTAAAACTTCGTACACGTAATACCCATTCCAATACCTTATTGATAGGTGAAGCCATTTTTCTCCATATCGCTTCCAAAGTATACTTTGCTTCCGTCAATTTTGATAAAATCAGTACCAGCTTCTAGAAAAAACGTGTTAGATTGCTGAAACTTCGCACAAGTAATACCCATTCCAATAACTTTCTGCCAATTTCCCCAGTTTACCCCCATTGCCCAAAGGGATACCTCGCTCTTTTAATTTTGAGAAAATCAGTGCCAGGTACTAGAAAAAACGCATTACATTACTGAGACTTCGTACACGTAATACTGTGGCAGGCTCCTGATTTACCTACCCTGAATTCGGGAGCCTGTATGATGCTTTGATAATGATCAATTTGCTCGGGCGCCAGTTTTGACAATGCAGTTTGTTCTGCAACCCTGAAGTACACCAGAGTGCACTCAAAGTAAACTCAGTGGAGTAAGAAAACTCCAGGCGGTCACCGCTAACTTAAGGAAGGCTCCACTCTCTCTTATACCTTGTACCCTTCGGTACCCTGAAATAGAACGGTTGAGGGCCGACAGTGAAAGAAACACAAAGGATTTATAATCAAAGTATATTAACAAAAAAAAATTAAAGAATAACAGGCACCAAACCGGCGCCTCGGTATACAAAAATAAAGAAAATAAAAAAAATATCTTGACAATCAACCTAGATAATTTTGCATGAAATTTGAATCTACAAATGCCCATTCGGATTTCGGCAAATATGGAAATATTTTAAACTACGAGGGCGCTCGCAATTGTTTAAAAACGGGAAATTCCTGAGAAGCGCACATACGGGGCTCTTCGAAATGTCATTAAGCGGAAATTAATTAAAATATACATTTTTATAATTAAATAAAAACTAAAACTTAGTGACTTCGTCACAATACCTAATCAAATACCTTTTTTCCAATTGGAATCATTTTCCCCCATCGCCTACAAGAGAATAGGGAATAGAGAATAGGTATTATGTGTACGAAGTTTCAGTAATCTAATGTGTTTTTTTAGTACCTGGCACTGATTTTGTTAAAATTGAAAAAATCGAAACACCCCTTGGAGGCGATGAGGGAAAAATAGTTTCACCTGGCAAAAAGGTATTATAAAGGGCATTACGAATGCGAAATTTCAGCAATTTACCGCGTTTTTTCTAGTACCTGGCACTGACTTTGTCAATATTGACCAAAGTACCCCTTCTAGGCGATGGGGGGAAAAATGGTTTTACCTGGGAAAAAGGTTTTTGATTAGGCATTATGTGTAAAAAGTCTCAGTAAATTACTGCGTTTTTTCTAGTACCTGGCACTGCTTTTGCTAAAATTGAAGAGTGCAAAGTACCACTTGGAGACAATGGATGAGAAATAGTTTCACCTGTCAAAAAGGTATTTGAATAGGTATTACATTTAGGAAGTTTTAGCAGTCTGACGCGTTTTTTCGAACAGCAAACAAATACTTGACTATGACTAGACAGAATCTGCGCCTAGTCACAGGCATTCTGACTGGTCATTGCCAAGTACGAAAGCATCTCCATATCATGGGGCTGTTAGAATCCGCACTCTGCAGAGGATGCGAACAAGACGATGAGACCATCGACCATATCCTTTACGATTGCTCGACGCTATCATTTATTAGAAGATTTGTGTTCGGCGAGTATCGGCTAACACCAGCCGATATAAGAGAAGCACCTCTTGGCGACGTTGTCACTACATTAAATCTGTAGGCTGGCTCGAGAGCTAGGAGGTGCCTATCATCTCAGGAGGATGCACAATGGGCCTAATGAGACCTAAGTGCCGTGGGGGTAACCCCCTTCACACGTTACAGATACAGATAGAGATACCCCTTGGAGGAGATGGGGGGAAAATTGTTCCACCTGGCAAAAAGGTATTTGAATAGATATTACGTGTATGAAGTTTTAGGAATGTAACGTGTTTTTTCTAGTACCTGGCACTGCTTCTGTCAAAATTGACAAGAGTAAAGTACCCCTTCTTTAGCTATAAACTGTGGTAAAGGCATCAAAATGGCCGCGCCCTATATTGGGCGTGTCGGACCTCTCTCTTGCACCGTATAGTAATAAATAGCTGTTGAGAATGAACACCTGGCTTTTTGAGCGCAGGACCATCTTTTATATGTTTCAAAGTTCTTTATTTTGGAACATATATTATAAACTCATATTGATTAAATGTTTGTTATTTGATAAATTCTTTAACCCCAAAAGTGAATTAATAATGGTTTTAGCAAGTTTTCTTTTTGTTATAAATTCAAACGACCTCTTTTTGATTTTTTCGAAAATTCGGACATTTTGATAATCCGGACAGGGTCTGGTCACAATTAATCTGTATTATCGACGATCTACTGTATCTCATTTTCCACGATAATTTTTGACAGTTATTGAACTAAGTACAGTAACTTTGACAACAATATTGACGTGTTTGAATATCCACATCCGATGCATGTTTTACATCTCGAGCGTTTGTTTATCCAGATCGGACACATCTATTACATCTACATCTGTGATAGTTTATCTGAGATATAGCTGTCCAGATTACATTTTTTACATCTCGATTTGAAATGAGATGTGAATGAGAAGTTCGTTCCATGCCAGAAAGTAGGTGTTTTGTGAAACCAAGTTTATTGATTTATCCTTTGTTTATGCTAGCGCGAACACAAAAGTGATTAGTTTGTTTAATTTTTGTTTAGATTTCAAATTTGGGTTGATTTCTAAACTCAAAAGCCAAATTAAAAAGTATAAACTTCTAACTTGTCATTGTTATTTTATCACGTGACCAATAAAATCTAGAGCGTTTGTTTATTACATCTACATTTAAATCTAATCCTCTGTCACGTGATAAAAACATCTCAGATGCATCCGATGTGAATATTCAAACGCAGCAAATAGATAGTGGATGAGGAGCGTTTTATTGCGACTCAAAATGTAAATAATCTTCTTTCCTATAATGTACTAACACAAAATGATCACATAGATCCTGATGATCCAGAGCACCTTCAACTTAGATTTTAGACTGGATAAACGGAACTTTTAAAATTTTAAAGCTCATTAGATCCGAATTTAAAAACTCATATCAAGAATTAATTTAAATTATACGTGTATTAAATTGGGTTAAATTTCATAATTGATAAAATAGATTTTATTTAATAAGTTAAATATGACTTTATAAAGGTGGGGAAAGTACTCAAAATTTCTGTATTTTAGGACCAGGCTACTAATATCGTATATTAGCAAGTGTAGATATATCTAATCCAAGTTTACTTACAATAATTTAAAAATAGACAATCGGAATTTAAATTTTGTAGATGGAATAACAAATTGGTCGTTAAAAGTCGATAGCATAAGTAGGTAACAGAAAAGTACCTACCTAACCTAATGATACAAATATTAACAGTCATTATCATTATCAGAAATTAATATTAGCTTTAGAAATATGTAGAGACATTCGTGTATCATCGTGAATGGCTGTAACTCGCAATTTCTGATAACAAAGCATTTGACCTTTAATCCAAAATGCCGTTTTATTGTTGTTGATATAAGAGCACCTTAATTAAATCAGCAACATTATCTGCGAAAATAAGTAGGTAGGTATTTTATTTAATTAATGAACATAGGTATGGATTATTATTTTTATCAGTCAATAGCAATTCCAATGAATTAAAATCAAGTTGTTAAGATAAGTTCAAAGGGCGTTCGTTATCTAATAAAGCTAGGCGCTTTGTGTTATATTGTTGAAGTGACAATCGACGAGGTGAGTACTAATAGGATATTATTCCATTATTTAACTTTCGTTAGATATAAGTAAACCGTTTCCTTAGCAAAAAAGTTACAAAAAAAATATATTTATTCTACTACCGAACTTAAACAGCCACTTTTCCGCATTAGTACGGGAAAGTTAATTTTTCCTGCACTAGCGCGAGAAAGTATATAGATATTATAACATTATTACTTACCGGTGCAATAACTATTTGTGTTTACTCAAATAATCCATTTCGTTTCAAACAATTTTGAAAAATTTCCTATTCTAAAATATTTGATTCGAAGTATGACTAAATAATGATTATATTTTCGATCTGAATTATTTAAATCGAAAAATTTATATTACCTGATGAAATACCAATTTTGGCAATATCAATTTTAGCAAAAATTCATAGATAATACAACTTGTTCTCCCTCCTCTCCTACGTACAATTACTAAAATCGGTCGAGTAAAGTGACTTGCCACTTTTTACAGTCAGCCAATCCTGTATCGCAAATGTAATACTTAGATCAACATCTAAAAGGGAACACTCTCATAAATTATGTTATTTAAAAGTACAAATAATTTTATGAGTATATACATTTAAATATGTACAGATGTACTCAGTGTAGGTAATTTGGGTTATGACAGGTCATAGATAAAATATGTAAATTTAAAGCCACTTTATCGATAGGCAAATTCGGTTCCAACAGTTCTTGACATCTTGAACCTGAGCCCAACTCATTTTATGTATATTTTCTTGCGACGCAACTCGCGATGTCTCTAGGCTGCACAGGTTAGGTAAATTAGTAATAATATTGACTATAAACAGAACATTATACCACAATAATAATGTACATTGGTAACTTTTTAATTTATTTGCAAAAGATACAGCCATAAGCTTCGTATTGTTATCGAAAGAAACTTCACTATACTATACAAAGCATTAGTGATGTTATCATTCGAATGGTAAATCATTCGAATATTCGATTACTACCACCATTCGAATTAATACGATTATACCAATATCATTCGAATCATTTGAAATGTCTGAAATTGTAATAAACGAACGAGAGTAACTTGGGGTTGGGGAACTATTTTAAAACTATGGCAGCACTCATTTCTCTCAAGATTTTCATGAGAAATGACATACGTCAACATTGAAATAGTATTTGTAAAGCCAGTGAGAACTGTTTTTCTGTTTTTTCGGGAGAATTAATATTCTCCTAAGAATTTTCGTTCCTACTGGCTTTCAAAATACTGTTTTTACGCTGACATGACATTTGTCATAAAAATCTTGAGAGAAATCATTTGAAATCGTCTCCAGGTGACTTATTGTTGAAATATGGAGTAGAGTAGGCACCCAAAATTGCTTATTTTCCTTAAGTAGGATACACATGCAACGTTTTTGCGTCTTATCTTTTAGCGTATCGCGTTTAAATTGGATAAATCTCTGTCACGTCGGGGAACCACCTAATCACTCCAAACAGTAAGCCGCGCCGTAAGCAAAACAACTGCATGATAAATAAAAAGTAAATATTGACATATGACGTTTTAGACGTTGGTGTACTGCGTTCTGATTGGATAGTTAACTGTCAATATATTAACTTTTGCCACTTTGATCTTGGCCTACACAATTATTGATGATGGCATATAATAAATCATTCAAATGATATAATTCGATACTCGATGAATTCGAATTTTAATCATCCGAGTATTCGATTATGACGATCATTCGATTATGCCCATGATTACAAAGCATCATAACTTCCCCAAGCTCATACCTCAAACGACCAATAGCATCAAATCTGTTAGACCATCTAGTTTAAGAAAGTGTTTTTAAAGTTAAATTGGAAATACTTTTTTCCTGAAACAGTCCAACAATTAGTTGAGACCGAAAAAAAATTGTAAAGTTCTTGAACTGTAGAACAAAATTTCCAGTTATAATTGTTAATTTTACTGCATTATTTACAACCAAGCTTAAACTGTGGTTATAACAAGGTCCGAAAACTGATCTTGGATTTAAATGTTTTTTTAAAGCATTTAGTAGACATTTTTTTTAACCCTCAGCTGTTGTGTCTTCTATTGGAGTAAAATGTAAGAAACGTTCCTCAACAACAATTTCCCCTGTTGTTGATTCTAAATTTACGAACCTGATACAGACAGAAATTTGTTCTTGATGGCTCATATCCGGAGTGCAATCAAGAATAATAGAAAAATATTTTGAATTTTTAACCATGTTTAAAATATTTTCTCTTAAATTATTACGTATTATTTCACATTTTGAATTTGGTTGCCAAGATATTGATTCGAATAAAGTATGATTCAGAAAATTTTCGCCCCGTCTTGTTTTTTTGGAAAAACGTAGTTTGAATTATTGTTATAATAAATTGGATCATTTTTTATCAGAAGTTCAATATTCATTGGAGACAATATGTTCGGCCTTTAACCTGTATCTTTAGACAGTTGTACAGTCTTACTATCAAAAACTTCATCAGCTTCGATAAAAGTTATAGTCTAAGATCCGAAATAAGGTCGACCTTCACCCATCTGTTTAATGGATGAAACTTTCTTTTTATTAAATAAAATATGTTTTTAAATATACCGCAAATGGGTTGCCTAAGAAAATTCGGTCCAGGCTATTTATTTTCTTAAAGTAAAAAAAACGACACCCTGTAAAGTATTCCCCAAATGCTTTGACTGTGCCCAAACTTTAATCAGCTCATCGCAGGATAGATTAAAGCTTAAGTTCAAAATTTCGTATTTGTCTCTTCATCCGTTTTTGAGGTATCTTCAAAATTCAAAATTTGCGCTTTTCATCAAATATCTCAAATTAGGCCCATTTTAGGAAAATCATGTATAGAGACAAAATAATAGAGAATGACATCATAAACAACTTTTATCATGATTCCTATACCTTCCTTATCTGTAAACAGAGAAGAAAGTAAAAAATAGCCGTGACCGTATTTTCTTAGGCAGCCCATTTGCGGTATATTTTAAAACATATTTTATTTAATAAAAAATAACTTTTATCCATTAAACAGATGGGTGAAGGTCAACCTTACTTACGGATCCAGAACTATTAGTTTCCTCAAACAAGTTGATGTTGATGGTTCCTTATTATCACCAATATCATTTTTTTTCCAAAGCCATTGAAGTAGAAGCAATGGGTTCTTTAAAAAGGTGTGTAATTTTCTTATTGGTATTTTCCAAAACCTCCTCCCGTTTACCTTTGTAAATTAGATTTTGGTACCTAGAAAGTTTATTTTTAGCCTCTTTAGACATCTAAACAAATTATATCTACAAGATGTATGACATTTTCGGATCGAGGTTTGTTGAATCTAATTAATTTATAATTACGAATTATTACGATCTACATAATATTACTTACCTCAACTTTAAACTTTATACTTATACTTTATATTATCTTATAACTCAGGCTACTTCATGAAACTAACACTTTCAGCTTCAAAAAAAAAAAAAACATTTCAAATAGCCCCAGTTCATTCTATTAAATTTAAAAACCTAACCCACCTTGGTTAACCGATAATGTTAATTGATTAAGCTTAGAGATAAGGCATTTAACAAATTTAAACGTACTAAAAACCAGCAGTATTGATACCCGACCAAAAAATTAATCTTATGTTCAAAAATTTTCAAAAAATTCACCTAACTTACTCATCAAATAAGTAACTAATGGACAAATTTTGAAAAAAATCTGGTAAGCCGTTTTTGAGAAAAAAAATGTTTTGTTCAAAAATTCAAGTATGTAAAAAAGTTATCTTTTATCAGATTTTTTTCAAAATTGTTCTATGCGATCTCTATGTCATTGTTATACTGGAAGAATTTTTCTAAAATTTTTAAACTTACAGTTTTTTTATAAATAATAATATTATTATTATTTCACAATAAATTATCGTTAAAACTTTTATAAACTTACAAAATTAGTCCATTTCCTCTTATTATAACTTTTTGTTGCTTTACACACTACCTAAGATTTATTCTAAACACTAAATAATCGTAAAAAGTGAATAAAAATGTTTTAATTTATTAAATATTTTTAAATTTGGAACCTAAAACATTAGTCCAGTTGGTGCTGCTATGAATATATATTGAATTAACGTTTCTGAATCTACCCACTTGGATGTATCGTGACCGGCGAAATTTTTACGATGTTGCCAAATCGAATTACATATCAGAGAATATATGATATTACAGAATGGTTAATATAACAGCAAACATAATAATTAATTATGGGATTATTTATTGATTATACGGATATCCGACGACAAAGAAGATTGTTAATAGACATGTTCAATTTTTTTGTAAAAAAATATATATTTATGTTTTAAATATTTATTCCATAACAACTGTACATATTCTTTAATATGTATAATATATAAAAATGTATAATGTTTAAAAGTTGTGACAATTATATAAACGCATTAAAACACGAAATCGTTTTGAGACAATCAAAAACAAACTTGTTTTTTATGTCTATTAGATAGAGAGTCCCTATTATGCGCAGCCGTTATCTGTTTTACAGACAACAGTGTAGCTTAATTATTTATGTGCATTGATGAATTATGAGGAATCGAAGAAAAAAAATGGAGAACTGTCATTAAATCTACGAACAAGATTTCTGGGCACTGACTGTTTACAAATAATAATGGAAGGCGGGACGTGATTGTAGTATGTAGGTATGCAAACGCTCATAAAAAAAAAAGGAAATTTGGAAATTTTATTGTGATACATAGAGTGCGTTAACACATGAATCCTTTGAAATTAAGATGAGCCACTTAATTATACTTGCATTTGAAAAAAAAAAAATAAGGAGAGATTCTCGTAAATCGGCTGACTGCCTGCCGTGATTAGACGCATCGTTACACCTCTGTCACTAGTGGGCTGGCGCGGACCGTTCTACCTCTGTCAAAAAAATAGCATCGTTTATTATATACCGTTCTTTTAGTGCATTTATGGGAAAGTTAACATATTGTATGTACGAGCAAATA